AGTTTACAGAAGACGAAGAATGCAATTTCCTGGAGTCCTCTATTTGGAAAACAAAACAAACAAGCTATAATTTATAAGGACTAGGTCTATTTAGAATAACGAATATTCACTAACATTAGCCTATGGTTTTCTTCTCCAGTCTTTTCCGTCAGAAAACCTAATATTTCGGTGAAAGCTGCTTCTTACAGTTTTATTTTTAAGTTTCTCTTTTGATTTCAAATAATACTTACATTCCCCCAACAATGTACAGTACGAAATTCGCGAGGGGTTTCTGTTGTTTGTGTTTGAGGAGGGAGGGAGGGGAAGTCTGAGGACATTAACTCGTTATTATAATTATTTGTTTATCAAGTAAGCTCGAAGATATTAGCATTTTGGTGCTGCTCTGTCCTAACACATACACAACAAAGTCGTGTGAGTGCAGGGCCGGACGGCTTTTTCAGGACTTGCTCATGTCAACCCGTTCGGTCCTACACACATCAGCTTTCACTATTGTGTGCGCGAGGCCGTAAGGGTCATACGATAATATGTACTTACTTCAAACATACTGAGATTTACACATGAAAAAAGCCCGTCTAAAATTCTTGCGAGACACACAACTAACCAGACAATAAGAAAAGCGAGCGACTGAAAAATCATCGTTCGTCCAGTCAGAGACACAAACGATAGTACTTTACAGTGGTGAACAACGAGCACGTGACTTTCTGTCAAAAACAAAATGGAAGAAGTGCCAAAATTTGCTCGCCTTGAAATAGCAATAGATGACTTCATAGATGAGCAAGAAGACAAAAACAAGAGAGCAAAGACCGAAAGAGACATAAGCCTGCTGAAAAACCTTTCTTCTCAGTATGTATGAAATAAAAAACATCATACCTTGGAAAGTGCTTGAACGATTTTTATTTACGAGTTAGGATATATCAAAAACTTATTCCTTCGCTGCCTTCACTGGTTCGATGGATCCGACTCCTGAGTAAAAATCGTCCGTGTGTAGTTTCCATGGGATAATCTGTAACTGTCATTTCATTTACCGGACATGGCGTAATCTGAAACAAAAAAATGAAAAATAATTAGGCCTCCTGCCTAAAAGCAATCGTTATTGATAAAATTTCACGAGGTCAAAGACTTATCCATAGGAGAAAAATAATTTTTTTTTTCTAGTTAAGAAATTTTTTTTCTGTAAAACAACGTTCTGAGGGATTGTAAATAGTGGATTCATCTATCTGTGAAGTCGATCTTCACCACAGATGCACTTACTTGCAGAATTTCGAAAAGAACATTTATGCGCAAAACGAACGCTCTAGCAAATAACTGTGAACGGTCACATCAGTTTAGCAGACGAAGCTATCACCAAAGAGTCCAAAATATATCTTTGTACGTGTGAAGTATAAATAAAAGTCAGTTTACGAGGAAATGATTGTTATTCAAATATTAAACTGGTTTCTCTTCATTGCCCAGGTTGCAGGACGGGCGGGAAATTCAAGACTTGTTTTTGGCTTTATTTTGAAACCGATAAATAGAAAAACGCTAGACTCAAGGAATCAGCAATCATCTAAACCAGAGAGTGTGTTTTATCGTAGCATGTTTCATGTTATACATCGAATCAATTTTGAGGAGTGTTTCTACAAACGTAAATCTATCACGCCTTTCAGGTGTGTCCTTGATATTCTCACTCGGCAAAACGGTGTGGCTTCATAAGAAAAGCACGCTTTGGAATTTAAAAGAGATCTCAGAACCTTTTTTCATCACAAAACTACAGTAAGAGAAACCCTTCCCTCCATGAATTGTTCAATTTCAGCCGTGCCGTTAATGTGTTTCTAGCCTCAACGAAATCTTCTCTAAAAATGATTGGTAATCTATTTGTTAGGCTTTATTATTTAATCTTCATTTGAGGGGTCGCAAGTTATTGTTTACCGTAAGAGTACTGTTTACGTTTGACTGAAAATGTTTCTATTTTTGGAAAAACCTGAATTAAATGCTCAAACTTAAGGCTGGTTTCTTTCCAAGACTGAACTATTTGGCTATGTATCAACCAAATTTACCAAACTCTTATGGTATCCGTATTTAAAAAGAAAAAAAAATGCATAAACCTGATTTCATTAAAAAGAAAATTCTGTCTGTAGGGGTAGTTGATAAAAGCTAATCAACAATACTGTGTTGTCTAATAATTACTGGGATACTTGTGGTAGCCCAATCATAAAATGCCTTTGTTTTTTTTGTCGTCTTTTTTTTTCCTCCGCCACAAAGTGGAAAAATTGCGCAATAGTACCCATTGGTCATTGGGCCCTCAAAACCATGACAGCTAACTGTGATCCAATGAGGTGTTCGCATGCTGATCACGCGTGTTATCTTGATGATGACTGGCGTTGTCATGCACGGACAGGGCCGGGTCACACGATGAACCACGAGATTTTTGCTCATAAAACTCTTTTGTCAGTCGTTTTGTGTTTCAACGTGTTTGGATTACGATCACCTGGAGTATTATGGCGCAAACGCTCAAAATACTTACAGACGCATACACAAGTCGTATTTTTCGCGGCCAATCCACACTAAAAGATGTTATTGAGCGGTAATTTTGGAACGGATTGAGTCACGAACGCTTGAAAGCCATGAAAGCCTTCAATGCCTTGTATGCCTTGTATGCCAAGTATGCCAATGTCTTAGTTGAAAAACGTACACTTGTTGTAAAAAGCAAAATCTGAAATCTGAAACCAAACTGCATATACTCTATGCAATCTATTGAACAACACTATTACCGTGAGACTGAAGAACAAAACTCTAATGGATGCAAACTGCTGGTGAAGATAGACGCCATGTTCTTGATGCCAGGAAACGTAGCTACGATAACACTGCGAATGGTTTTAATTTCACGATTAGAAAGGTGAATATTATGTTTGTTTTCATTGTAGTTGTATGGATATTCTTTTTAATAAATACATGATCCAAAATCCTGTGTTTTTTGTGTAAAATGTTATTATGTTAAGTATTGTTTACGCAATTGTCTTGTCACAGGCGGCTCAAGCTCACGCCTCGAGAAAAAGCCAACGATTAATTCATGAACACGTCACGCGTTGTGTGACTCGGTGTTAAGTTACTAGAGGAACCGTTGAAAATTTGAACACGTTATAAGGAATAGTACAGGAAACGAAATATGGTCGATTTACAACGACAAACATTTCGAAATATGAACATTTTTCTGGTAAAATCAATAAAAATTACTCATACCCTGTGCATCCGTTGTATTTTCTGGCGATTTCTGCCGTTTTAAGCTTGCTTTACCATCACTGTTATTCACGTCATCTACTTTTATTACGTTGGTAAAAATCTGTACAGACATCACACCAACCAACTCGCGCGCAAAGTAAGAAGACTATATTGAAGGCTTGAAATTATATTACGATCGATTTTCATCAAGAAATGGGCCAGGAATTTTCCACAATAGTGCAAATAATCGTGAAGGCTGATCGCGGAGAAGCGATTGCGTGACGCTCGGTAAGCAGTAGGATGACGTGTTATTATATATCAGACGTAAAAACTCTTCAGATTCTCAGTCTGCATTTTGTACCCACTCTTTACTCTATATTTTGTATCCGGTCTACAGTCCGCTGTCTGCATTTTGTACTAACAGGTATCCGTGGCACCAATACAGTTTCTTTTTGGTTACATTTATTCGCACAACACACACAATCTACCTCAAGATACCTGTGTGTGAGGTTATTCGACATTTTCGTTCTTTTCCGCGTTAATACTCTTCTTTCCTTTTGTAAGAAAGTAGACCACTTACAATGTTTCAAGTAATCCACCCACCCTACAAAAAATAACTCTTGCATGCATAACATGCCTATGTTTTGAAATAGGTGTATACCCTTGGCCAGACGAGCTCACTATTTCAGTATACTAGTCCGACACCCGTAGTATCACTACACTTGATTCCAAGGATCCAGAACCATCCAGGTATCCCAGTTACTCTGCTCACAGGGTCTAGTTGACAACTAATCACCGAAGTGAAGAGAAAGGTGGTGGACATTTTTACCGAGCCGTGAAAAGGCGAGGAAATATCCACCTATTTCTCATTGACAATGTACCCAAATATGGTCAGAAATTATATTCTTGACTTGCGAATTTGTCTCTTCCGCTGCTTGAGGATAAATAGTACTGGCTAATCACTTTCAAATTAGCCAATCAGAGCGCTTGAAAAGAACTACTCTCTTGGTATAAACTAAAATTAATTATTTACGTTCATATTTACGCTAGAGAGTTTTAGGTGTGTCATGACGAAATATGTCTCATCCTCCGTAAGGCTCTATAATCACCCTCCCTCCTCCCCCCTCTCTCCTTTAAAACCTGAAAAACCGTGTGATCCCTCAAAATTATTCCTCCTCTAGAGATAATTACAAGTCCCCTAGTTACTTTTTCCATCCTAAAAGTATTTACATTTGCGATAACTGATTTAAATATCATGTGTGTTTTCGAAAGGGGCTAGGGGATCGCATACCTAGCACTAAAGCAAATGACAATATTTGTGCTAAGACTTTATTAAAATCACGTATGAACTGAGGTACTTAATTTTACATGTCTCGCTGCTGTCTTCCTGGACAAGCATTTATACAAACTGAAGAGTACCCGTTTAATAATAAATTCAACTGAAACTTTATCAGCTATCAGCTTATAACAATATTTATGAATATCGCCACCACGTGTACCACCTCTACTTACATGATACTGCTAATAAAGACAACGTACGTTTGTTCAAAACCGGTGCAGCCCGTTTTCAAACGGGAATATCACATGCATATCGAATTATTCTATAGAGTATAGGTTTGTGAAAATCGGAAAACTACCTTCATCTTGGAACATCCGATGCTACAATTAATGCGAGTATTATATGTCTTAAGGTATAAATAATATCCTATAAAACGTTACTAGAGCTAATCATTAAAGCCATGTTTCGCCTAAACATATCTGCTCTCGCTATTCTATTAAATATTTTAAAGGAAGGAGGATGCGTTGCCTTGTATGCTAAATTCTATAATATTTCTGGCCGTCTTCTTCATTCCTCATTATTCCTGTCTCTCTTTTCTTCTTTTGAGGTGGCTTCCTCTGCTTCAGAAAGTGGTATGTGATGGTCAGAGAGCCGACTCCTGAAAATAGGAGCAATTTTTCAAAGGGTAATTTAGAGTTATCAACTGAGTTGAAAACGTAAATTGGCCAGTGTAAAGAGTTTAAAGGCTGACGTTTCGAGCGTTAGCCCTTTGTCAGAGCGATTGGATCCTTGTGTCTCTTTTACATACTCTTACTTTACTCTAAGAAAATACCACAGTAACTAACCAGCGTACGTAGGAGCTCATTCTCAACGCCTCCCAAAAGAAAGGCAATCCTTGAAAATGTATAACAATTAAATCTATATCACAAATTAGAGAGATCATTATATTTTCTTCAAATGAAGGATCACTAACATAGCGTATGTCTACGACTAACCAAGAATACAGGTTGGCAGATCCTAGAGATATACAAGTGTGAAAAAAATTCACTCTTGTACATCTTTTTCACAAACGAAATAAAGAGGTCAGTCGGCCTATAGTCTGGAAGAAGTTCCATACCTTATTGTTATAATATGTAGGTCAATTCTAAGAGTAAGGAAGACGACTTTGTAGTAGGATGACACTTTTTGTAGAGCCATGTCGCTTGGAATCTTATTCAACTCTTCTATGATAAGCAGGGACGCTTCTCAAAAGATTTATTAGACCATTAAAGTGGACGATATCTCTAAAACAACATCGCCATCCTCCAAAACACAAAATCAAACAAACAAACGAAAACAGGAACTTACTAGCCATGTACTCACATGGTTATCTGCTGGCACGCTTTCCATGATTCCTGTGCATGTTCAGCGGTAGCGGTAGATACCGGTGCGAGTGTTTCTGTTTGTGTCCCACGGTCACATTTAGTGTTGCTACATCTGGTCACCCTGGATTTTACTGAACTTCCTTCTTGTCTTTCACTGTCTTCATGGGTTGGAGAAAAACTTAATGCTCCACTATCTTTTGCACTGGCCGCAATGGAGGGCTTCCCAATGATCCCTGACTGAAGTTGTGTTTTAAGCAGGTTCTTGCCAACCATTCCACGAATCTCGCCTTGAAGGTCATTAAGTGGAAGAAGCAAGGCTAGGCAGCAAGACAAGGACCATTTTGGATTTTTGCGCCACTCTTTGAAGAACTGATGTAAGAATGCCAGGTACTGAACTAAGAAGAAAATGAATGACCAAAGAATTGAACTTTCCCTGTTTAACGATAAACCTTAACCAATTACGTAGTTTCAATTGTTAACCAAATAAATTGAGCTCCTATAGAGAGACTAAATTCCTATTGTGCGTTTCATTAATTTTAATGTTTAGTTGCAGTTCAGATAAATTCAAGATACGATAAGGTTATCTTTAATGTGTATGAGATAACACTTGTGTGGTTACTATTTCATAAAATGGAATTACTGCAACACAAAGTAATAGATAAAAGTTGCAGTGACGTTTTTTTTCCCATCAAACTAATGTTTATCTTACCAGCAAGAAGGCCAATCACCAACGTATTTGCCCCAATAATCAGTATTTTCATTACCAAAGCGTCCTTGTGATGGTCCGCCATGTTTGATATGTTCTCTGCCGGAATTCTGCTGACAGCACCAATACCTAAGTTTACAATTGTAACGGCAAGGGAAGTGGACATCAGTCTGTTCTCAAAAGTGTCTTGCATGGGTTTGATCCAGCAGAAAAGCACTGCATACATACCGGCAACAACCCAGGCCAATCCAATGAAGGATCTGCTTTCTTGACCCACAAGAATGAGGCCGCATGTAAGAATGAACTTGCGGGACATTTCAACCAGTTCCCAATACCAGGAACGAGGTTTGTAATTTTCGAAGAGAAATCGCAATCCGTCGACAATTTCTGGATCAGAGCCATTATCACGGTCTTTCTTGGTTATGATTGTTCGGCGATGCCTCCAAAGGGCGACGAGATAAAGAGCAGGTAAAGCAATGATGTATGCAGCTGAAACATAAGCTACAATCACAAGATGATTGTAATTTGCTCCTTGACATTTTATGTTGTAATCTACTTTCAGGTACTCGTCACATAACTCTTCTCTTTTGTCTTTGCAGAGTTTCTGACAGGCGAACGGCATAACACTGGCTGTCCTCGAACAAGTGCTTAGGTATGTCACGTACAGGAAGAAAAAAACGTTTCTGTAAACAAAAACTTTCCCCTGTGAAATTTTGCTTGCCTTTTTGTCCTCCTCCAGGCCCTGTTTTTTTGAGATCATCATGTACCAAAAACTAGAGATCATACACGAACCAACGATAACAATGGCGTTCATTGACAAGAGCACAAACAAATCTCCAAAGGCATCCACGTGTAATTTGTGATTAAGGCAGTGAATCGGTGCTACCTGAAGCAGATTCATCTGTAAAATTCCTGAATATTTGGACACAACCTGCAATGAATCTGGCCATTCAATGAACGAGAACACGTCTAACAAGCCATGAGTGACTTGATAAAAACCAATCAAGATCTTAAGCTTTGACAACAAATTGTCGAAAAGAGAGAGTCCCCGGTCCTTTGAAATATTATTTTTCTTTCTCCATACTAAAAGGGCCAACAATATCGCTATAATAGTAGCAATGAGAGATAATTGTGCTGCGATCCAGGCTCGTGAAGGACATTTTTCACAAGAGTGAAATTGTTTGTGGTACCCTGGATTGCATACAGCGCAAAGTGGACCTTGATACCCTTCTCCGCATGGTGAGTCCAAACCACCTTTGCAAGACTCCTCTACCTGACATCTGTATGGTGTTGGTATTGCATAAGGATATTGCACTGAGAAATCATCCAATGCAGGTAACTGTCGGGCGAGATTTTTCATGAAATATTCATAGCGATGTTTATAGGACTCGTTCCGCCATTGCCACCAAAAGCCAGGTTTTAGTGAGGCATACTCATCTTGGCATTGCAGCCCGCTTCGGCCACATGTAAAACACTTTTCGAAGAGATGAGTTCGGTAATGTCCTTCCAAGCAGGGACAAGCACGATGTCCAGCGAAAAAATCGGTTTCTGTTCCTGTAAAAATTCAAGATTGTATTATTAATCAATCAAATCTTACTCACTCCTACCTTCAGTTAGATGAAGCTTGAGGCAAAAAAACCAGCTAGACTCATTATGGCTCCTGTTGTCATATTTAATTGTCATTTAAAAAAAGTAGGCTCAAAGTCGTTTTCGTTCGCGCTCCAAATGTTTGGTTGAAGAAGAGACAACTCGCAAAAAATGCGAAATCATTGGTGTTATTTATCAGCGCAGGGTGGAAAGAATTCTCTCCCGGGCTTTCAGACACGATGTTCTGGCCAATGTTGATTGAGGGAAAGATCAACTAATAGGCTCACCTATAAACCTTGGGGCGTCAAATAGTACCCTTGAAGTCACTTGACATTGAAGATGACTTCCGCACGGGTGGTCGAAACGTCAGTCACCACTACCGACATGTACAACAGTCCTGCTCAGGACTACACTCGCCTGAACGATCAAACTATACTATTACATGTTACCCCCCGGCTCAAACCATTTACTGTAGTACCCTTGAAGTAAAAAAAAAATCTTCAAACCAACCATACACAATGAAGCGAACACAGGGACGGGTTTCGAGACATTCGACTCTTGCCTACGTGCTGGGTTTGTTTCTTAAGATAAACTCGACTGTTCGAATTCTATCCTCTATTTTTACGTCATTCTTTCCAGGCTTCTGGACAGCATTTGATTACGTGTGTACACACTGACAGCTCAAACCCTTTAGTGACGTTGAGAAGCACATGTTTGGATATTACCGTCAGGACATGTCTTGCAGTCCAATACAGATTTTCCAGGTTTTTTGTCATATGCCACGTAAGAACCATTTGGACATTTCTTACAGCCGTCTGCAACATAACCAAGTGTGTCGGAGTAGAAACCACCTGAAAGAGGAACGTGTCAAAGTGCCAGTTGTGGTTATGAGTGGTTTCAAGTACATTTTGATTATATGTGAAAATAAAAATATAAACCGTCAACATACCTGAAACTTGGTGGAATACGAAGTTTCCACCAGCTTCAAGGTTGAGCATTTACTTTGGTTCAAAGTCAAATTTTTATCAATTTCAGTTTAATTGATTAAGGAAAAGTTTCCTTTGCAAGTCGTTTTTCCTAAATTGAAATAGGTGATGCTTTGGACAAACAGAGGCTATTCTTCATTTATATACTGAAACCTGAAATCCTCTCTCAAGCCGAAATATATTGGTGTGGTTACTGACTCTTAAAATAAAACGACCCCAACGGACTTTGAGCATTCAAGCTTCCCCAGAGTAAGTGCTATGGCAATATTGTACATGTACAAGTATGAATAGGTCTATAAGAAGGTTATTCCTAGACACACGTCTCCACAAATTAATCGCTTTCACCGTTTCTTATTGTGGCCCGAGCTACATCGGGTTCTTACAAAATATATAACATACCAGGAGAGCAATCAACGCATTTCCAGCTTCTTGTTCCCAAAGACTTCGAAAATGATCCCAAAGGACATGGGAGAAATACAACATGTGATTGGTTTTCATTTTTGGTGAAACCCATACTGAGTAGTGCTTGCTGAAGGTTGTCGTATTCAATGCCGTTACGTTCAACGACAATAGATTCATCGTAGGAATAAAGAGAGTTCCTAAGAGTGAAAATGATAATGGAAGTATTTTTGGAAATATTATAGTATATTTACATATGTATATATATATATATATATTTTTTTTTTTTTTGCTTAAGCTTGCGTGACTATATCAGTCTTGACTTTATCAGACTACACCAGACATTAATGCCGATGACGCTGGTAATTGATTCATATATAATTTCTACTACTTTGATTTTAAACACTCTGCTTTTTCCCTCACATCGGTATAGTAGTGTTACAAAAATCCTACATTTGAATGTGAAGTTTTTTTAAATGTTTCTACTCTCCCCGGGTTGTTATTATTCCGTGTTTAAATGCCTCAAAGTTTATCACAATTAAATGCTTATTTAAATAAACATTGGTTAGCTGCTTCTCCTCAATTAAAGTTACATATCAAAACTAATGTGTATGTCATATGATGTTATGCGTGTATCATTCAAACATTCATCTTATACTGACAAGTAAATTGTGACTTTCCCTCTTGGCATGGAATAATACATGGTTCTAGCTGTTCTATTCCTTGCAACACTGCAACAGAATTAGACAATGTCTCTACAGGCTGAATCATTCTAAGGTAACTGAAATAAATCAACGTTAGCTATCACAAGTTCGAAAGGTTACTTATTTTATGTTGTTGTGTTTTATGTTTTGTTTTGTTTTGTATTTTTTTCCCGAAAGCATCAACTTATATTGCGATTAGACAGTGAGAACACGCATGAGCTCGGCATCATATATCAGGGAGGAGGAGAGATCGGTTAAGGAATGGACTCAAAGTAGACGAAAATCGGACATTGCAACCGCAGGATAAATTTCATCAAAGATAGAACAAATTGTTATTCTTCCAGCTACTTGGTGCAGATACTGAACGTTTGATCATGTTAGATACGCACAGTTTGAAATTCATAGAGTGGAGGCCTGCGAATAAGGCAGAGGTTAACGTCTTTAAAGTCGTCCGGAGAAGAAAGCTGTAAAATGAGAGAAGAGTAGCAAGAGCTGAGATCATCTCATTTAGAGAGAGAGGCTCGCTTACTACAAATTTGGCGCAGGTTCATTGCACTCTAGTCCTTAACTTGGCGATATATTTGATCTGATTTTGTTTTACAAGTTCTCAAAGGTTTCAGTCGTCCTTCAAAACCTGGTCGGAAAATATTGAACTTGGAGAAGTCCTTAAATGAGTAATACCTGGGTGGAATATCATTCTAAAAGAATTAAAAACCTACTGACGAATTTTAAGTAAACTTACATCTTCACGCTTAGGGACTCAAGGCGAAAGGCCTCCGGTTCGATAACTTCAAGAGGATTATCAGATAATGTTCTACAGGAATAAAACCTGTGGCATTTAAAATCACGGTGGAATATTTCTATAAAAATATAGTCAAAATATGATCAATTTAATTAGCATTGGAGCAATTGTAACGAATCCGATATAATCAAACACCCTCTATAAAATGAAAGCTGTTAAGGTCCTGATTTCGTCTTGTCATATTTACTATCAAATTAATCTGTATCCTGGACACCAAGATTATCCCTTTTCGACCCAATTTTGGGTATTTTGACATCTCATAGTATAATTTCACAATTCCAATAGATTAGTTGATTCTTTGATAAAGTTTTAAAGAAAATTTCACAGAAAGTTTTTAAAAAATTTCTGCATGACTGCCGACCATGCCCGACTGCTGGCCTTGTAGCTATACATAAATCAGTTTGTTTTATAAGATATTTTTCCAGCGTACTTTGCTGTCGGCTAAGGACAGTGCCTGCTAAGAAGGATCGGATTTTATTGTGCCAGTAAAGAGGATCTTATAAACAGTTCAAAAAAAAAATTCAGGAAGAAAATCGGAAGAAGTCACGAGTAAATTTAATGATTAATAGCATATGTGTTTTTAGAAATTGCCCGATTCGGTCAGTGACAAGGCAAATTTCTGCAACACAGTTAATATTAATTCAGAATTTACTTTGGTATTGGTGCTGTAAGATATGTATTTAAATAGCAACCATTTGCTAGAATGGAAACGAGTTACTGCAAATCAGAATTGTGAGCCGATTATATAAAGCAAAGAAAAAAAATACATCCATTCCTATGCTAGATCGATCGCACTTTACTTTTCCATGATTACTCGCTTGTGATAAAAGAACAAAATTATATTTTATCAAGATGATAATAAACGCAATCTATTGCATCAATGAACTGTAAAAAGTGCGAATAAACTAAAGCATGTTAAGCTTACTGGCCCACTAAGCTGTACGTCAAAACAGGCAATGAACGAACTCCTTGATTCCATAATAGTGAAGACATTTGTGAAAGCCCTCTCAAATTTGGGCATCAAACTCAACAACTTTGAGTAGAAAAGTGGATTTGATCAGGGTTCATCTTGACATCCGTTGCCGTAAAATATTACCGGCAGCTTTTTTATGTCGCTGCCTTTGTGATCGTCTTTCCAATTTTACGTGCATCTATACCCTTTTTTTTTCTTCCGTAGTTGGGCTTATGGAATGACAGTTAAAAATACTCACAGTAGGTCTAAGTGGGTCACATTATAAAAAGCTCTGTAAGGAATTCTCCTCAGTTGGTTCCTGTTGAGGAAGCTAATCGAAACGGCAAAGCAGTCACTGAAGGAAACAAACTTCAAGACTATTTTTATCAGAGACGAGAACGTGTCAGATATTGTGTTAAAAACGAGGTTGTTTGTTTTTCATTGCCCAAAAGACATGATTTGCATTTCTTTCAAGGGCATTAAAATGTAATTTCAAGACCAATAGGAAACTTGACTACCATGAAGGACAACAGTACATAGCTTTGTTACATCTGAGTTTTCAACCGTTTTTTTTTCTGAACAACATTGTATTATTATTTGAGTATTTTTGACGAAAATTGTCTTTCGTTGGTATTATCTTGTGATAATAGGCTTATGTGGATACTATGTGGATACTTATGTGGATTTTAAAGCCTTCAAAGTAAAGCTCTTCAAAGACATACTACATCTTAATCTGTAACGTAACTTACTTTGAAGTAGGAATTTTATTGATATCAAATCGAACAAAACAATAAAAAGAAGTAAAAAATTAATTAAAAGAAAAACAATAAATTGAGTCACCAACATCCTACGCAGTGAATTGAAAGGCACACTGAACGCGTTGCCGGGGAAAAAGGAAAGTTTATTCCAAGAGAAATCCCTGTGGAAACGATTACATAGGACAATCGAGGTTATTACAGTCAAAATATATGACCAATATACACCCAGAGGCCTACTATGGGATCTCAAGTCGCCCTAACCAAAAGAAAACTTAGGTATCTTCTCCCTAAAAAAACAGGCGATGCAGGCGATCCAGCCTGACTCAAGGAGACTTAACTTCCACAAGCAGTGATACAACTTTTGCAAATTCACGAGCGCCATGTACCCAATAGACTTTTGAAACCGTTTATGACTCGCGTATTTTAAACACAACGCGGTGCAGCTGTGATAAAAAACTCCACAAACTTCCCAACACACAACAAGACTAAAGCTCAAGAAATTAAAAAGGTGGGGAAAGATGTTGGTCAAATCACAACTTTCCCAAACCGTCTGATTAGGGCTAGATTTATTGTTGCTCAAACTTTGCTGGAGAAATAGTTTCTTTGACCGAGGTACCGCAAGGTTCAAGTTAGCAAGTGCCCAAGTTAACAGAAGTCGACTGTAGATGTTTAAAAATCATGAACCAATGGGTCGGTCAATAAGTAAATAGTAAGTTCGAACAAATGAATCCTAGAGAATATTCACTCGTGACTCGATAGTCGACATTCTACCACGGAAGGAAAATTGCACATGATTGGTACTAGTGCGTATAGGATTTCCAGCTTCCCAGAACTCGGTAAGCCAGGTAGAGAGGTAATAGAGTTGAAAGATAGATCCCTGTTAAAATGTTCAGAATTTGATGCAAATAAAATAATTTAAATGAACCTTCGAACAATTTGCAATATTTAATTGGTTCATGATAAGTACAATTTTTCCTCTTGAATTCAAGTTCTTAAGAAAGCTGAAAACAGTTTTTTTTAGCTCTCATCGGCTACATGTACATTCAAAACCCTCAAACCCAACTTTCTCCCTTCGCAGTCCAACGATTCTCACTCAAGCTTTGATCAAAAGATTGAAATTTGAAATAGTGAATGTGGCATGACAATCGCTATGAACATGCGAATGAAATCGAGAAATCCAGTCTGACATTTTTTCGCGAGGGTGGGGGGGAAAGGGTAAGGGAGGGAAATTTGTTTTGTGTGATGCGAAATTAGTCGGTCAGAGTATGGAAAACTATTTCCAACCACCTTTAGTGTAAACTGCTTTCTACAATAAAAATAAATGATTCAATGAAATAAATATTTTCAGATACAAAGTGAAAAAAGGCAAAAAACGGAGAAAGAGAAAGAAGTAGAACTATTGTCTTAAATGTTTCAATCCAAGCGTCTTTCTTCTTCGAGGCTACAGTCTTCCTGTCCCCCACGAAAAAAGAAAGGCCTGACAGTTATTACTGAAAAAACCTCCCAAGTTAACTTCCTAAGCTAGATAACCTTTTAACGCACAGGGTTCTCAAGTTGGTCAAGTTGACAAACAATCCCTCAGGTAGATTTTCAATATGGTTTGATGATAGAAACCTGTGGAAACATCAAAATGCAGCAGTATTTTGTAGATACCCTATATTCTCCCTTTGATAGCTGTAAGGACAATGATGTTAACGATATCTTGCTGAATCTATTTAGAGTTTTAGCTCCACCCAGGCCTGTCACTGACAAAAAAAATAGAATTTGACAGATTTCAAGTGGCATCCGATCCAACCATTTTCACAAACAACCAAGGATTCCTGCGACCGTTTTTTCACTGCTATAAATCTTCAATCAAACTGAAGACGAGAGACACTATTTCCTCTTAGAGGCTATACTGGCACTTGGATATGTGTTCTTTGTTTGTTTGTTGCTTTTTTGAAGCTAAATTTTCACACACGCGTTGTTTCATCGGAAAATTCCCCTGCACCAAATAAAAAACCGCCAGCTTAGTTAAAAACTGTTTTCCTATCCTCCTCGTAAAAACTCAGGCCTATCAGTCAGTACTTAGAAAACCTCGCAAGTCGGCAAACAATCTCTAATGTAGTTTCTTATGTGGTTTGATAATAATTATCTATGGAAACATCAACATATTAATTATATTTTTTTGTTGTTGTTGTCATTTGCTTTGGTAAATAGGCGTATAAGTTATTTGTGAAGCAGCAAAAAAACTGCACCAGAAAAAAAACAGATAGAGCGACTCCATTGTATTGATTATCGTCATAATCAAGTTTGAGGAAAATTGATTCCTTTCAATAAAAAGCCAAATTTGGCGTCAGTTAATAAATTGCGAGTCACTACCTAAGGTTTGAGTCCAAATGACTGAAAAAAGCAAAAAAAAAACCAAATGAGAGCATCACAATATCAATTTCCTCTACAGAGGAATTGGTAAACTTTTAAATTAATAAAGTTTTAGCAGAAAACAAAGCTGGCACTGACAAACCAATAGAAATTGAGAGATTTTAAGTAAAATTTACATAAATACAAGAGGCGATTGATGCAACCTTCAACTACTTAAGTTTATCAGAACTCGTCTGTATCAATCATATCCCTTGTTTGGTTGGAATCAAATTAAGGGAAAATTGATGTGAGCAAACTAAATAATCATCACAATAGTTAAGTTTGCGTCCCTGAATTCTCACAATGATTCCAGGTTCATCTGCTGGTTCTTAAGAAGAGAGCCTCGCACTCGTCTTTGAACTAGTACTAGACAAACTCGTGTTAAATCAGAACCATTCCATGTTGATCAAGTTTTCAAACAATCCTTCAGGTAGAAAGGCTATATTATTATATGGTAGTACCCCGTGAAAACATCGACTCATCAGAATAAGCCTTTTTATTAATTGATTCATTCATTCTGTGAGTACTAAGGTTCGACTAAAAATGACTGCTTTAAACAAAACATGTAGCGAAATTTGACAGCACTAAATGAACTTGACCTCACTATAACTTTAAGCCCTTGCGTTCTCCCAATAACTTCAGGTTGATCTCTTGGTTCTTCCGGAGAAAGCCT